ACTATTTCTCAATTTGTCCATAAGGTTTTCAAGAACTTTTGTGTTTGAGGTACATTTCTCTTTCTTCTTCTTGTGCTTGGTTCTTTTCCTTTTGAGTTTTGTTAGTTTATGCCTAAATCTTTTTAACTTTGTTATAATATCAGAAAGATGGAATCTTTTTGTCTCTTGAATCAAGAAAATGCTGCTATTTTTTTTTTACTTTGTTATAACATCATGAAGATTGAATCTTTTTGTCTCTTGAATCAAGAAATTCAAGAAAATGCTGCCAATTTTTTTTTTAACTTTGTTATAATATCAGAAAGATTGAATCTTTTTGTTTTTGAATCAAGAAAATGCTGCTAAATATTTTTAACTTTGTTATAATATCATAAAGATTGAATCTCTTTGTCTCTTGAATCAAGAAAATGTTGCTAAATCTTTTAACTTTGATATAATATCAGAAAGATTGAATTATTTTGTATCTTGAATCAAGAAAAATCAAGAAAATGCTACTGAATCTTTTTAACTTTGTTATAATATCATAAAGTTTGAATCTTTTTGTCTTTTGAATCAAGAAAATGCTGCTAAATCTTTTTAACCTTGTTATCATGTCAGAAAGTTTGAATCTTGTTGTCTCTTGAATCAAGAAAATGTTGCTAAGGAGTTCTTCAACACCACTTCTTGGATCTTTACACTCAGAGAGTCCCAACAGTCATCACCATCATCATCAGTCTGATTTAACCCCAAATCACACACCCAATTCCATTCACCATAGTTATAGCAAACTCTCATGTAGCCATGGTGGATATCAGAATTTCAATAGAAGTTTATACCCTTCTAACTCTCCAATCTCTCCTTCATTTTCTGAGATCAGCAATGGCAACAAATTCCCATCTCATGGTTTTAGAAGAGCTCAATCTGAAGGGAACTTGGAAGGATTAGTAAAAGTTTCAACTGATGAAGTAGTTGATGAATTTACCCTCTCTAAACCAACCAAGACGTTTTCACGTAAACCCCCAAAATCATTCTTGGAAACCATTCCATCTTTCTCCATTCACAATTCAAGGGAGCTTCATTCAGACGACGATGACAGTGATGAGAGAGATGACTTTGATTGCATCAGTGGACAGTACAGTTTGGGAATGAATGCTGTAAAAGGGGAAATGAGTTATGTGAGTCGAAATTCGAAGATAGAAATAGTTGAAGGCAGAGAAGAGATGTTCCTAGCAAGAGGACTTGGGGTTGCTGATATTGGTTGCTCTGATGATGGTGGTTGTGGCATAGGAGGTGGAGGAGGTGGTATTTATCGCCCAGTAGCGTTCGATAGGGATGGTGGTGACAGCCAGGGACTACATATAGAAGAGCATTACAAAAACATGATAGAAGAGAATCCTGGCAATTCCTTATTCTTGAGGAATTATGCCAACTTTTTATACAAAGTGAGTCTTGTCTTTTGTCCCTTCTCTTGTTTTGCTTATTCACAGTCATTGACAATAGCTAATTTTGCTTTTCTTTCATGTTGGAGCAGACAAAGAAAGATCTTAAAGGGGCAGAGGAATACTACTCAAGAGCTATTTTAGCAGATCCAAGTGATGGTGAAGTTCTTTCACAATATGCTAAGCTTATATGGGAGCTTCACCGTGATACAGATAGAGCCACGAGCTATTTCGAAAGAGCAGTCCAAGCAGCCTCTAGTGACAGGTTTGCTTCTCACCCACCAGCAAGAATACACTGTCTTATCAAAATTCAAGAACAGCTTGTTATTCACTTTACAAAACTGACTGATTTATCTTTTTTGATGTGTTAACAGTCACATACATGCTGCTTATGCTAATTTCCTCTGGGAGATAGAAGATGAGGAAGATGAGAATGATGAAACGCAAACGCAACCAATGGTGCATACTGTAGCCACGGCTTCTATAACTGTTTGACTTGAAAGTACATTATCTTTTGTTGAAATATTTGCAGCAGAGTTAGTAGAAGTGTAGCAAGCAATTAGGAAGAACCTGTAATTTAGCATATAGTTAGTAATAAAACTGATGCACAGGACTTCTCTTTTTCTCATACTTCTATGATTGAATGACTAACCCTTAAATAACAATGAATTGCCAGTGTAAACAATGGTGCATACCATAGACACTACCTCTATAACTGCTTGACTTGAAAGTACATCATTCATTCAAATATTCGGAACAAAGATGGTGGAAGCTTCACAAGCAATTAGGAAGAACCTATAATTAGCATCTTAGGTAGTAATAAAACTGATGCACGCGACTTCTCTTCCTACTGTTGTGATTGTCCGAGTAACCCATGAACGGCAAAACAGGCAGTAAGTGAACCATTTTCAAGTTATCCAAGGGTAATTGTAATTGTAATTGTTTCAATCAATGAACTAAGCAAGCAAGAACATAGACCAACTTATAATCTTTTAAGGCTAGGATAAAAAGATATAAGTAAGGCAATTGGAAGTTGAAGCACTATTGCTGATTGACCTTCTTTGCTCAATGTAGACTTAGTTTCCAACTAACTGTGCTGTTGATGCCTAAGAACAGGGAAAGAGAAAGCATGTTACTTATACAGTGGCTGAGATATCAAAGTAAATGTCTGAAATATGAGATTATGTCAATAATTCACGGACCTGCAATTACAACTATTACTCTAGGCAACTAATTGCATCAGGAAACATTTCAAAATGGTTCCAATTTCTAATATCCACTGATAGCAAGTAACACACCTATAATCATACATGATCGTCGATATTCATGTGACCAGAGATATATCATACATGGACCTTACAAAGTGTGATTGTACTAGAAAGCAAGACAGCATGAAGATATAATGAACAATCTATTGAGTATCAACCAGTACAGAAGGGAAACACTAAGATAAGAGCAACTTTTTTTTTGATAACCGAAAAATCCTTGAGGGCTAGTGGTGCATCGTTCGGAACTTGGTGGATAATGGGCCCGCCTTGCTACTCATTTTCTGTTCAAAACTGTGGACTTTTCTTCTTTCTTTTGGGGTTTGGTGGTGGGGGGGGGGGGTAGAGGAATTTGGGGAGGGAGGAAAATTCATGTTGTCACTTAAAATGTCCAAGAAAAATCTTGAGAGCAAGGTAGAAGAACACTTCAATTAGTCTAGGATTCAATGCATCAAAGAAATATTAGCTAAAGTTAGAAACTAGCAAGGACTAAAGGTGGAAACAAGACGATGACCTTGGAAAATTCCATTACTACTACAGGTCATCCGTCATTCATATGCATTTTCATTGAGTACTCTCCTACTGGTAGGTGAGTCTAGAACTTTGACTCTTCATGTAAAATTTGACATGTTCTCTTTGATCTACTGTCAAGTGCCAAACTTTCTCCATAAGGATGTTGATTTAGCAAGTTGGACAGTCAATATATTGATAACTGTAGGAGAATGTTAAGTGCATGTTGAATCTGTGTCTATACTAGTATGTTGCTGTTACAGAGTATCTATGTTTCACCCAGACGCTTGGGAGTTTCGTATTAGATAAATTACTGATGTGGATCAAAGTCATCAAAAGATTTGAAATTCATTCACTTTAAGAAAAAGAAATTTATTTACTCATAGATAAAGAGACAAAATCATGTCAAAGCTTTTACTCTTGTATTTGTGAAGCCTGTTTTTAAAATGCTTTTCATGACTCATGAGCCGAGACAGCCTCTCTACCTCACACAAGGTAGGGGTAAGGTCTGTATACATTCCACCCACCCTAGACCCCACTTGTGGGATCACACCGGGTATGTTGTTGTTGTTGTTGTCATAAATTGCAAATAGGGTGGAGGTGGTAACTATAGAAGCATAACTAAGTTTTTAAAGTCTCTCCAACAGAATCTTCTGCAGCAGGTTCCAGCTCTTGCATAGCTTCCCACACATCATTGGGCAAAGCAGATTATTCCTCAGAACGAGTCTTCGATTCACTGCACTTGAAACTTTCACCTGTCACCCAAGATGCAAAATCTCTGCATCTTCATAGTAACTAGCAACGTTCTACTATCTTCAAGTTCTGACATGCTTTCCTCCAGCTTACCTTTTACCATAGCAAATAGCACATAGTGAAGGCACAGTGGCAGTTGCTCTAATAAACCAGCCAATACAACACATGCCCAAGTCATCATATACAATTCTACCTTTCCAATATTGGACAGTCATACCAATTACATGTGTATGCCTTACAATTTGATGTCAATGTTGATTTCTAACTCATAATACTGATTGTACTTTAGAGATCTCATATATGTACAAGTATGACTCGAAAACTTGCGTTTGTGCATGAAATAAAGGAGTCTGCAAATACTTCAAGGTGTTCTAAACTCCGACTGAAGCACTGAATGGATTTGACTACAAGCTTCAATTGCATCTGTATTGCTTCTAATAAAGGATACCATCCAGTTGAATCAACCTTCACAGATACTTGTGAAAGACACTTTGACAATTATAGTTAAATGTAATAATCTGAAATTTTATGCAATATGAAGAGACTACAGTTACAATCTCATACTTCAATAGCAAAACGAGGATGTGTCCTTTTGGTGGGATAATTGGAACAACAAAGGTGCCTTAGCTAGCAGATATAAAAAGATTCTTGTCTCCGGTTTCATCGTGCATAAATGATTTGCTCCCTCCTAATCTAGCTACCTACATCCAAACCATCAACATTTCCTCTGAGAATGAGGATCACCCTATCTCGACAGCTGATCCATCAAGTTCTTTTTCTACCAAACCTGCCTGGAATGCTCTGAGTACTCATAGAATCACTGCTCTTACTCACACCAAGATCTGTCATAGCAAGATGGCCTTTAAGATCTCATTTCATGTCTTGAGACTTCTGAAGGATAAGCTGGCCACTGATGTTGATCTCACCAGGTTTAAGGTCCATGAACCTTCTAGATTCTGTTGTTGTAATAATGGTTCTATTGAAATCAATGATCACCTTTTTAATGAGGGAGAAATGTCCAAGAGAGTGTGGAGATTCCTTGTAAAAAATTCCCTAAATATTAGAGCTAAATTCATGACCTGGTGGCTCATCAAGCCTCAAAATCAAGTACATGAAATCATTCTTCAATGTCACCCTAGTTTTATTACTTGGGAAATCCGGAAATTCAGGTGCTCTTGTAAATATGATGGCATCAGGTTTACTACTAACAGAGTGATAGATCAAATCATCATGCTGATGCAGAGGACTCTTGCAGCTCAATTTACCACCCTAAACTTTTTCCCAATATCTTTCGTGTTGTGGAAAGAATCAAAAATCTCAATTATCTGTCATTCCAGTGAGTTGGAAATGTCCTGATATCGGGAAAATAAACTTAGTGTTGATGGTTATTGCAAAGGGAATCCAACAAGTGTTGGGGAAGGAGGAATTTTGAGAGACCAAAATGGGCATATGATCATGGCTTTCACATCTTACCTTGGGGAATGCTCTAACAACTACACAGAGATTCAAGCCATAAAGATTGAATTGAAGTGGTGCTTGGATAATGGTTTCAGAAATCTGATTCTCTGCTACTATTCATATGATCAATGGCAACATATCTACCTCGTGGATTTTAAAAGACGAGATCAAGAGTATTCAAGCCATGAAAGCAGAGGGTCATATTCAATTTAGTCATATCTTCAAAGAAGGGAAAATAACTGCTGATCTCATAGCCAATCTTGCGGAGTTTAAAAAGTCCAATTCTTTCTTCACAACAGCTATCAACTTGCCTATGCAAATTACATCCACTTCGAAGAATGAAGAAAAAGGAGGGAAATTTTTTGAATAAGAATGAGGAAAAACACTTTTCATCTTTGAGCCTGACTCAGGAGTTATATCTCCATCTTGTATATTGCTTAGGTCAAATTGTATTTGAACTTGTTTGTATGTAGAGGGTAGGCTCCAGCCCTCTTCTTGAACTCCTTTTGACTTATCAAATCTTAGTATACTTCTTGTGTCCTGCTGACTTTGTCATCACTCTGGCATAGCATAAAGGTGCCATTTAACTTGGCCTTAGCTGGCATATGTCAATTTTGGATGTGCACAAGTAGACACTTAAACTTGTATAAAGTTGAACAAGTAGACACACATCCTACGTGACATAATACATGTAGGACACCATGTAGGACTGCAAATTGTCATGTAGGATGTCACGTAGGACGTATATATGTATGTTTTTCAATTATATACAAGTTTAAGTGTTTACTTGTGCACACTCAAAGTTGGAGGGCATAGATGTTAGTTGAAGTCAAGTTAAACGGCACTTTTATGTATTATGTGGACTGTAAGTGGTTATTTCATATAAATCATCATCCCGATGGTTCTGTTGACATGTATAAAGTTTCTCTAATTGTTACTTTGAGTAATTTGTTGGTCAATATCATTCACAACTATATTTTCATGCTCATAGACCATAAATATTTCATCAATCCTTTGATATTCTCACAAATAATTAAGTAACACAGTACACTTGTGTGTCAATATCATAATGGTTCATGCTTTGTTTCATTTGTGTGCAATTACACATTTTCAGCGCATTAATTTCGTGCTAAAATCAAACATATTGGAAGTAGTGATTATCAAACATACATCACCAATTTTGTCCTTTTTTTTATATATTAAATTGCTTTAAACATTTTCATATGTTGCCGAAAGAGAAGTTTTTTTTTTTATTATGAAAAAACAAAAAAATATTACTCCCTCCGTTCTTATTTATATTCACCAAATCAATTCCTACTTTAACACTTATAAGAAATTTTATGTTGGTGAGAATAATAAATTTTAAAAAGTAATGATGTTATTATAAATTTTATGTCACGACCCAAAAATGGATGTGATGGCACATGTCCTTTCCCACCAAGACAAGTCAGCCTCAACCCAACAAACGCGAAAGTAACGCGGAAAATAGTAAAAACAAGAATAAGATAAAGTGAAAAACATAGTCTTCTATTAAAACCCCTCAAATCTGGTTGTCATGTGTACAAGCCACTAAATACATAAGTGCAGAATTAAGAAATAAATACAAGTCTCAATCTTTGTTTCTTAAGTAGAACAAAGCGTAAGAAAAGGAAAAAAAAGGGCCCATCGAATGACAA